TAGGATTGTGATTCCTGTTTTTTGGGGGGGGCGGGAAAACGAGGAATAAAAAGGTTTTTTTGATACGAAAATCGGATTTTTTTGGTGCTTTTTTCGGGGGGATTTTGGGAAAATTTCTTGGGATGGGGGCGGGAAAAGGGAGGGGATTAAAAATGGGAATAAAAATGAAATAAAGGGTTTTTTTTAATGATATTTATTATATTTTATTGGATTTTAGTTGGATTTCAACATTTTAATTTCTTTTTTTTTAAAATTTCATTTTATTTGGATTAAATTTTAATTTTTTCAGATTTTTTAAAATTTCATTTCAATTTCATTTTTTTATTCCATTTTAATTTTATTTTTAAAGTTTCATTTTATTTTCCTTCATTTTATTTCCATTTATTTTTTTATTTTTATTTTATTTTACTTTTATTTCATTTTTTATTTTTATTTCATTTTATTTTAATTCTTCAATTTTATTTCATTTTTAATTCTTTTTTTTAATTTTTCTTTTATTTTTTATTTTATTTTATTTATATTTGTGCTTATTTTTATTTCATTTTTATTTCATTTTATTTTTATTTCATCTCTCAAATTTCATTTTATTTCCCTTCATTTTATTTTAATTTTTTATTTTTTATTTTATTTTATTTTTATTTAATTTTTTATTTTTATTTCATTTGATTTTAATTCTTTAATTTTATTTCATTTTTAATTTTTTTTAATTTTTCTTTTATTTTTTATTTAATTTTATTTCTATTTCTCTTTATTTTTATTTCATTTTTGATTCATTTTATTTTTATTTTATTTCTCAAATTTTATTTTATTTTCCTTCATTTTATTTTAATTTTTTATTTTTATTTCATTTTACTTTTATTTCATTTTTTCTTTTTATTTCATTCTTCAATTTTATTTCATTTTTAATTCTTTTTTAATTTTTATTTTTTTTATTTCTATTTCTGTTTATTCTTATTTTTATTTCATTTTTATTTCATTTTATTTTTATTTTATTTCTCAAATTTCCTTTTATTTTCCTTCATTTCAGTTTTTATTTAAATTTTTATTTTTGTTTCATTTCCTTTTTATTTAATTTTTCGACTTTATTTCATTTTTTAATTCTATTTTTACTTTATTTTATTTGAATTTAATTAGGAAAATTTAATTTCATTTTTAAAAGTCCATTTTATTTTATTTCATTTTATTTCATTTCATTTTATTTTATTTCATTTTATTTTATTTTATTTCATTTTCTTTTCTTCCTTTTTATATTTGAAAATAAATAAAAAGACAAATAAAAGTTAAATAAATAAATAAATAAATAAAAACCGAAATAAAAGTAAAAAAATAAATTAAAAAAATAAATAAAAGTAAAAAAATAAAATAAAAAATAAAATAAAAAATAAAATTAAAATAAAAAATAAAAAAATAAAAAATAAAATAAAAATAAAAAATAAAAAATAAATTATAAATAATTAAAATTAATTAAATAGAATTAAAAATAAGAACCCACAAAATCAAAGAAATAAATTAAAGTTTAAAATTTAATTAGAAATAAATGAAAATAGAAAAGAAATTCAAAATAAATACCAGTAAAAAAATAAATTCGAAATAAATTTCAAAAGAAAAAGATCAATTAAAAATAAATTAAAAAAAACAAATAAAAGTAAATAAAATAAATTAGAAATAAATTAAAAAACCAAATAAAAGTAAAAAATTAATTAAAAATAA